CCCCTCCCTGCCCAGCCCCACGAAGCCACCTGGGACAGCTCCAGCCGGCGTGGGCAGAAGCAGGGACACAGAGCTGCTGGAGCTCAGCTCAGCTGGCAGAAGCCTCTCCAGAGGGAATTCACAGATGTTTGAAGTGGCTTCAGCTTATGATGTAGAAAATGCTGAAGCCGTGAAGGGGGTGTTTTACCCCTCCTTTCCCCGGGATCCCGGCTCTGCTCGGTGCTGCTGGTGCTGTGAGCACCCGGGTGCTGCTGCTCTCCCAGTGCGAGGCTGGAAGGTCGGAGGGTGCAGGGGGTTTGTGTTTCACACTGCACTGCCCACCTTCTCCCTGCCTCCTTCGTTTGGTAGAGCCCCAGGCTGAATGGCCTGCCTGGCAGACAGTGGTGGCCCTGGCACTGGGGCAGGGCTGTGCCAGTGTCCCGGTGTCCCGGGCAGCCAGGGAGGTGCTCACTGTCTCAGTTCCAGGGCAGTGCCTTCTCTTGTCCCCTGTGTGCTCAGGGGACCTCCTGAGGGCTGGCAGCTCCCCCGTGGTGGTGGGGTCCCCATCCCTGGAGGTGTCCAAGGAGTGGCTGGACGTGGCACTCAGGGCTGGGTGAGGAGGTGGGGATCAGGCACAGCAAGGACTCGAGGATCTGGGAGGTCTCTTCCAGCTGAAACGGTTTGTGATTCTGTGATTCCCACCCACCAAGCCCTGCAAGCCCAGCCCAGGCAGAAATTTCACAGCAGCCCTCTGGGATCCATCCCACCAGGAGTGTGTCAGTCCTGTGCTGGACCTGGGGACCGTGCTCACGAGCCAGCCCAGGGGACACTGCTGCTGTGGCTGCCCCACATTGGGTAACCTTGAAGAGCTGCTGCTGCCGGGAGCCCCGCAGTGCCTGCGCAGAGCCAGCAGCACCAGGGGGCTCTGCCGGGTCCTGGTGCCAGTGTCAGCCTCCCTGGGGAGCTGCCAAGCGGGACAACACCTGGAAAAATGGCTCTTCCCCTTCCCCGGGCAGGTGATGCCTGTGGCTCCCTGGCAGTGCCAGCACAGGGGTGCACACATAGCCCTGCACACACCCCCAGCGCCCAGGGGAGGGTGGGGGGGCTCCTCTCCCCTTCCTGCAGGCAAACCCTGCAGTCAAACCTGCTGGCAGCACAAAGAATCACCTTTCAGGAAATCCCAGGTACCGAGAGGTGCCACACTTGGCCGAGCGGGGAGTGGGACACATTTTCCACGTGGCAGTGCCCCTGCTCCACGCCCTCGTGCTCAGTGCCCCTCTCCCCTCCTCCCCTGTGCCACACACAGGTGGATGCCATCCTGGGGGAGCAGCCGGAGCTGAAGGAGAAGCTGTTCACCGTGCTGAAGCAGTACGCGGCCCAGAGGAGGGTGGAGAGCCTGGCCCATGCCCTGGGCATGCTGCTCACCCAGGAGTCCCACCAGCACCTCATCCACAGCACCAGGTACAGGGGCACTGCAGCTCCCTGTGCCACCAAACCACGGCTTCCTGTGCCTGCTGTGAGCAGGGCAGTGGGAGGGTCCTGCAGGGAAGGGTTGGGATGATCCTGCAAGGAAGGGCTGGGAGGATCCTGAAGGGAAAGTTTGGGATGATCCTGCAGGGAAGGGTTGGGATGATCCTGCAAGGGCTGGGATGATCCTGCAGGGAAGGGCTGGGCAGATCCTGCAGGGAAGGGGTTGGGAGGGTCCTGCAGAGAAGGGTTGGGGTGATCCTGCAGGGAAAGTTTGGGATGATCCTGCAGGGAAGGGTTGGGATGATCCTGCAAGGAAGGGCTGGGAGGATCCTGAAGGGAAAGTTTGGGATGATCCTGCAGGGAAGGGTTGGGATGATCCTGCAAGGGCTGGGAGGATCCTGAAGGGAAAGTTTGGGATGATCCTGCAGTCGGGGTGATCCTGCAGGGAAAGTTTGGGATGATCCTGCAGGGAAGGGTTGGGATGATCCTGCAAGGGCTGGGAGGATCCTGAAGGGAAAGTTTGGGATGATCCTGCAGGGAAGGGTTGGGATGATCCTGCAAGGGCTGGGATGATCCTGCAGGGAAGGGCTGGGAAGATCCTGCAGGGAAGGGGTTGGGATGATCCTGCAGGGAAGGGTCAGGGTGATCCTGCAGGGAAGGGCTGGGATGATCCTGCAGGGAAGGGCTGGAATGATCCTGCAGGGAAGGGGTCGGGAGGGTCCTGCCGGGAAAATGCCAACCAGCTTTCCAAGGGACAGCTGAGCCAAGCTTGGTGGCACTTAGCCCAGCACCCCTGTGCCCTCCTGCCCAGGGTGTGTGAGGGGCCTGCTCCCACTGCCTCTGCCTGCAGCAGGGGATGTGGCTCCCATTCTGGGCTCTGATGTGGAAGGGAGATGGGATTAGCTGCAGAGGCACTGGAGATTCTCCAGAAGCTTGGCCAGAAAATAATCTGAGTTCTGCAGGGTGAGAGCTGCTGTGGGCGAGGGCTCAGCCAGCGCTGCCAGCAGCTCTGGCCGTGGGGGGCTGGGGGTCTCTGCTGGGGCCACGGGCTGCCTGGGCTGCCAGGCAGTGGCCGCTCACCCTGGGCTGCCCTGGCAATGCTCTGCTGGGGCTCAGGGTCCCTGGCACCTCTGGAGCCCCAGTGCCAGGGCAGCCGATCTGGCAGCGAGGCCGGAGCTGGGGCTGGGGCTGGGGCTGGCCTGGGACACGTGGTGGGATTACAGCCAGGCTGAGACCATGGCCATTAGGGAATCAGGTCTCCATCTGGCCTCGCTCCGGGCCCAGCTTTCCAATTGCTGCTTTAATCAGAGGAATTGCGAGATATTACAGTTTCCATAACAACGTCCCCGTGCGGGGTCTCTGCTGTGACCCACCGTGGCAGGGTGGGGGTGGCTCGGGGCCCTGGCCATGCAGTGTCCCCCTGCCATGCTGTCACTGCTCTGGGTCCCCCAGAGCCCCGCAGCCCTGGGGACAGCAGGCAGAGAGCCCTGCAGGGTGCAGAGGGGACAGTCAGCTGCCCGCAGTCACCTTGTCCAGGTGCCCGTGTCCAGCCTGTCCCGTCCCCACTGAGCGTTCTGGAGGGACCCGACCTGCCAACAGCTGGGGCTGGGGGAGGGATGGATGGCACCGAGCCAGGCCTGAACCATCACCCCAAACTGAACCATCAAATAAGCCCCCTGCACTCCAAATTCAGGAGAATTCTTTCCCCCAGCAAGATCCGCGAAAATGCCTCAAATGCCTTGGATATCCCCCTGCCATCATCCCTGGGGAATTACACAGGATTATTTCCCCTCACAGAGGGGATTTGAATAAGTGTCCAAATCTTCTTCTGGGCCCAAGCCCCTCTGTGGGGGGCACAGCAGGTTCCCCCCGGGCTGTCCCTGTCCCAGCAATCCCTGTGTCAGTGAGGAGAGCCTGGCTGGGCCTGGTGCTGCCATCTGAGCTTGCCCCATGCCCAGCCTGTGATGCCAGGGCCAGCACCACCTTATGGCTGCCCAAAACAGGGTCAAACCCCCTGACTGCCCCCTGCCCCCGTGTGAAAGGTGAACGCCAGGGCTGGGGCAAGGGGCGCCGTGGATCTGGCAGCTAATCTGGCTTTAATGGAAATGAAATATTTAGCTCAGGCAAAAGATTTACCATCTAATCTTAATGAAATGAAGGCAAGACAATAAATAAAAGAGGTGCTTTGGAGAGCAGGTTTCCCAGCTGTGGGTGCTGGGGCAGTGCCAGGCGTGCTGCTGATCCCGGGGTCTCTCCCATGCCTTGGCTGCCAAGTGAGAGCTGTCCGTGCTTCTGCTGTCCCTGCTTCTGCTGTCCCTGCTTCTGCTGTCCCTGCTTTTGCTGTCCCTGCTTTTGCTGTCCCTGCTTTTGCTGTCCCTGCAGGTGCTGAGCAGCTCCCAGCAGCTGTGGATTCAGGGTGCTGTGAATTCCTGCGGTGATTCCAGCCGGTTCAGTCTGTCTCTGACTGAGGAGGGGTCTGTGCCCCGGGGCTGGGAGGGCAGGGGGGGTTCATGCAGGGGCTGTCCCGGTGGGTGCAGTGTGGGGGTGCTGCTGTGGCTGTCGTGCTGTCCTGGGGCACAGGGCAGCCACCCCGGGCACTGATGGGGTGCAGTCTGGGCAGAAGAGCCCTCAGGCCTGACCCAGCGAGCGTCCTGGGGCTTGTCCTGTGGGGTCACCTCAGGGGGCACTTGGCACCTCGGTGCATCCCTTGAGGCTGTGCCCGGCTCTGCAGGGACTGTTCCCACCTGGGACAGGGACAGCCCTGCACACCCCGGTGATCTCATCCGGGAGGAGAGGAGCCCTCGGAGGGGGGATGAGCCTCTCCTCCCCAGGATAGCCCTGCACACCCCGGTGATCTCATCCGGGAGGAGAGGAGCCCTCGGGGCGGGGGATGAGCCTCTCCTCCGCAGGACGGCAGTGCCATCGGCCAGGGCTGGGATGGATGCCGGCTGAGGGGTCCCCGCCGCTGTTCCGTGCCCCGGGCAGGCGGCTGAGCCCTGGCACGGGCAGGCGGTGGCGGCAGGCTCTGTGTGCCCGTGTGTCCCTGGCACACAGGGCCAGCCGCCGCTCCGTCCCCGTCTCCCACTGACCCTCGCGCCGGCCTGATTGGATCTTCCCTCTGCACCAGCTGTATTTATTTTTGTTCTGCTGCTGCTGCCTGCTGTCCCCTCCCCTGCTGTCCCCCCTGCAAAGTGCTGCGGCTCAGCGGAACCCCAGACCCCGACTCAGCACACGGATCCTCCCGGGGCTGCAGCCGCCTCTCCTCTGTCCTCCAGCAGGGCTTTTCCACTATTGGATACCTTTCCCTCCCCCCTCTTTCTTTTTATCTCAAATGGATTTCATCCCATTTGCCCAGTATTAAGCTCCTGCAGATTTTAATTTGCTGACAATTTTTTTTTTCATCTGCTTGGCTGTGGATAGCGGGGATAATGCACGTGCTGTGCCGGGTCCTCCCCGCTCCCATCCCCTGCCCATATGGCTGATGTGTGCGGGCAAAGTGCACAGCTGTAGTTCTGCCCAAGGATGCTGAAATCCGGCTGCCAGGGGGGAAGATGAGCTGTCTCGGGTGAGTAACGAACGCACCTTTCCTGGGAGTGAGGGACAATGGGTTTAAATCAGGTTCCTTCTGGAACGCGGCAGCCCCTGGCACGGCGAAAACGAGGTGTGCTGGAAGTTCATTAACTCTTAGCATCCGTACTGCCTCGGAGCTGCTCCGCTCGAGGGATCCGCCAGGCGGGGGAGGCTGGAATTTGGGTTATTCCATCACCTGCGACACCAGAGCGCGGGGTTTGTCCCCTGTGCTCCCCGCCGGGCCCCTGTGCCGGGGCTGGGTTATTTTGGGCCGGCCGCGGTCTCGGGGGTCCCGTGCCCCCGTGCTGCTCTGGTTTCTGAGCTGGTTCCAAAGCAGGGCACGGCTGCGGGGCCGGCTCCGCGCCCGGGGCTCTGCAGAGCTCGCTGGGCTCTGGGGGCAGGGGTCACCCCGGGAGCCGGGCGGGACGCGGGGGATGCCCTCGGTGTCACCCGGGGCTGTGCACCGGCTCACCCGCACGGCCCGGCCACCGCGTCCCTTTGCAGCGCGGGTTTTCCCGGTGGTGCCGTGCCAGGGATGCGCCAGCCCCTGGCAGCACCGTTCGGGTTAAAACCATCTGTTTGCAGTGGAACTGGGGGGAAATATCGGGGAACAGCAGCAGGCACACAGCCGGCGTCCTGTGAGCCCGGGGGATGTGCGCGGTCCAGCCCCTGGCCCCGGCTGCATCCTCAGGGAAAGCTCCGTTCCGACTGTGAGGTGTTGTCTTGGCCCTCCTGGAGGTCGTGTTGTGCTTCAGGGCTGCGGGTAGGACACTTTGGGGCACTTTGTTCTTCACTGCTTTGGTTTGGCTCCGTTTGCTCTCGGGATAAAGCTGGGCTGGGCTGAGCTGAGCTGAGCTGAGCTGAGCTGAGCTGAGCTGAGCTGAGCCCGCTCCCGGCTCTGATCGCCGGCACAGCTGAAATCGCTGCCCACCGGGGGCTCCCTTATTGCGGGAGAAATTCCACCGAGTCCGCGTTAATAACGCTCCCAACACAATCTATTTGTCTCAGCTTGTTTTTCACGGCAATAAAACTGCCTGGCGTGTTCCTGTATTAAACTGCTCCAGCCATCTGTGACCGGCCCTGGATCAGAAAATTCATTTCAGCCATTAGGATTTATATGTTATGGATTGTGCTGCTCCCCTGCTTCTCAAGCCCTACACATACCCACTTCTCCAGGGCTGGGGGGGGCTTCCCAGCTCTTCTGGATGTGGATGGAACATGAGAGACCCCCCGAGCCCCTGATGCTGATACGGACACTGTCCTCCTGTCCAATCCCATTGAAAAACCACCTGGGTCACGGGACGCTAATGGAGGAAAAGCAGCTCTTGTTTGCTTCCATTAAAAAAAAAATCCCTAATCTGATGGCCCAGCATATGCTCAACTGCCCAAAAAAAGGGGAATTAGGGCGGCAGGGAACAAAACGTGTCAGCAGTGAGACAATTGGGAGCGAGTTCCTTTTTTATTGGTGGAGTTCAAATAGGTCACGACCAAAATGCCTCGGTGGGAAATCTCCTGATAGGAGATTAAATTCCTTTGGCAAATCAGACTCCGGCTGGGATGCAGATGGGATCAGCCTGGCCCGCCTGCACCCTGCTGGAGTCACAACTTTTATTTTGGGAAGTGCTTACTTAGGATGAGTTTTCCAGGGTCTTAAAGAAAACAGGAAAAGCAGAGTGGAGCTGCAGGAAAAGCCTTTCTGGGGTCTCTTTCAAGCTCTCCGTGTCCCCGGAGCTGTGGGACCGCCTGTCCTTGCCAGGACAAGGACAAAGCCAGCAGGTCGTGGTGCACAGCGTGGTTTGGGCACGGGGACACTGGGTTTGGGACAGCCGAGGGCACCCTGGGGTGCTGATGGGACCCCAGCCAGGCACGGGGTGTGTCTGATGAATTGTCCCTGGGCAGGGAGGTGTCAGGAGGGTGACCCGAAGCTGCCGGGGATGGCAGGGTGGCCGGGGAAGGGCTGAGAGGGGCTCCAGCCCCGTTGCTCCGCCTGCCCTCCTGCAGAAAAGCACCTCCGGTCCTGGTAACTGGTGACAATGGACCTGCAGAGCGCCCTGGTGACAATGGCCCCACCTGCAGAGCACCCTGGTGACAATGGCCCCACCTGCAGCCAGGTGAGGGATTTTGGAGGCTCCCAGCACGGGGAGAACGGGACTGGGATCACAGCTCCCTGCTCCTGCACGAGGGGCTGGAGGCTCGGCATCCCCCGGGGCTGTGCCCCCGTCCCACACACGGGTAGATGAGGTTTGAGCATTTGGGGTTCAGAATTCCTGTTCTGGGGTAAAGCCTGCAAGAGTTTTCTCTCCTGGATTTTAGTGTTTGGCAGGACCAGCAGAGGTTTTCAGGACTGGTAGTGGTTTCCACAGCACAGTTCAGATATAATCCAAGTGTAGCTCAGTGTTTTAATCCACCCTGGGACGTGTTTTTCTGCACAACTGACAAACTCAAGGTCAGGTCTTTGCTGGTTGTTTTGGGGCCAAACCGTGCATTTTTCATTTCTCCTTCCTTTGTTACTACCTGGGGACTGTGTGTGATGTTGGCAGCTCGGGAAGCCTCACGTCCTCTTCTTCAAGCACCAGTGATGTGCTTAAAGATGGCGTTATTTAAATTAAAGAAGGGGTTTCTCTTTTATTCCCACTGAAGGGCACTGCTGTGTTACCCTGGGGTGAAGGATGCTCCGTGAGAGGCTTTGGGCCCGTGGCTCTGCTCCTGACCCTGAGCCTGGCAGCTCCACCTCCCCAAAACCCCTGGTGCCGTTTGCCTTTAAGGTTCCTCACCCCTTCCTGCAGCACGTAATTTAAACACAAGCACTTTACAAGTCAACTAATTAGCAGCAGGGAGGCATCCCCCCGGAGTTGGGCGCCGAGCCGTGCCCTCCTTTCGGAGGAGCGGCTAGAGAGCTCCAGCTGCAAACCCCAGCGCCTGCAGTTTTTGGGGGGAGACGGAGGGGACGGCTGCGAGCCGGCCGGGAGGGCACAGCCGGCCAGACGGCAGCGGGGGCTCCCGGCCGATGGTGCAGCGGCACCTGGAGCTGCAGCGGGGCCGAGCCGGGCCGAGCCGGGCCGAGCCGGGCGCAGGTGCCGCTCCCCGGGCACGGCGGGGGTGCCACACGCGGGGCGGCACCGGCTGGCGTGGTGGGCGTGAGCCGAGCCTGGGGCTCAGCTGCATGAGGATCTGAAGCATCTCCCTTTTGTTCCCGCCGCACCCCGACAAATGGGAAAGGACCGGAGTTTCTCCCGGCATTTTCGGTACGTGTCCCTGCTCCGCCGCCCCGGCACAGCCTCGTGCCCCACGGGCGTCCCTGGCATGGCTCGGCTGCCTCTGGGGCTGGGGGGACCCCGCTGTGTCCCCGGGACAGCCGTGCCACCGCAGCGCCCTGGCACTGCCCCGCGGCCACCGGGGGGAGCCGGGCGGAGCTGGGGTGGGGGCGCTGGGAAGAGCCCTCCGGGGGCAGCTTGGTCTGCAGGCCAGCCCGGGGGGCGAGGACGTGGGGCTGGGGGTGTGATGGAGCCAGGCTCGCTGTCCCCTCGCTCCCCTGGCTGAGCAAACTCGTGGCAGCTTCACCCGCCCCGGCAGGCTGGGACTGTCCTGCTGCCCTACAGGGGACACGTCCTGTCCCGCTGAGCCCCAGAATCACCCCAGCCAGGCTGGGACTGTCCTGCTGCCCTGCAGGGGACACGTCCTGTCCTGCTGAGCCCCAGCATCACCCCAGCCAGGCTGGGACTGTCCTGCTGCCCCGCAGGGGACACGTCCTGTCCCGCTGAGCCCCAGCACCGGCATCCCGGCTGGGACTGTCCCCGGCAGCTCGGTGACCTCGCAGGACGTGTGCGTGTGGCACAGGGGCTGGCTGGGAATGGGTGGGCTGCAGGAACGGGACTGTCTGCCCAGCTGGCAGCTGTGGCATGGGAGTGTGGCACAGGCTGAGGTGCCAAACAGCCAAAGGGAGCCCCGAGCAGGAGCCGAGAGCAGGGGATGGGCGCAGTGGCGCTCTGCCACCATCCTGGCCAGGCTGCTTTGGGGGTGGGTGAAGGTGAAGCAGCCTGGAGCATCTGGGACTTTTGCTGGCCTGGAAGATGCCCTGAATTCACAGCCATGTCTTCGAGCAGACTGAGTTCTCCCAAATGAGCTGCTGCAGAGGAGGGCTGGTGCCCTGAGGCTCAGTGGCACCGGGCATGGGAGCGGGCACAGGGCTCAGGGATGGGGGTGCCTTTCCATCCCCTCTCCAACAGGAAACAGAGCTAGGGCTGACCTGGAGCACTTGAGGAAGAGGAAGCAGAAGGCACAATGCCAGCACTGTGCCACCCTGCCCCTGCTTGAGCTCCACAGACAGGGTGGGCACGTCCAGGCTCCGTGAATCCCCGTGGGGTTTGCTCGAGAGGGAAACCCCAGCTGGGCACTGCTCCTTGGTGCCACGGCAGTGGGCAGAGGCAGGTTTATCCTGTGGGGTGGCAGGACACCGCAGGAACAGCCACGGAAATGGTTTTGCCTGCTTTGGTGGCATTGTTTGTGACAGTCAGTGGGGTCTCTCCTGTCTGGGCCCTGCTGTGCCCCAGCTCTGGGGCAGTGCCAGTGCCAGGTCCTGGGCTGGCTCCGGGGCCCAGCTCCTCAGCCCAGTGCTGAAGCAGAGGCTTGTGCAAAGTGGGACAGCTCTGCTGGAACAAGCAGATGTAATTTGGCCAATTAAATGGGATTGTGCTCATTCTGCCTGTGAGGAACCCGGACTTCTCCCTGGTGGGTGCCCAGCCCAGAGCAGAGGCTTGGGGGACACACATCTTCCCCTGTCCTACAGGGTGAACTATTTATTAGCAAAATTTCACTCTTTTGTAGTTGCTGCTTAATCACAGATCACCTGTGAATTGCACCAATGTGTTACTTGTTTTAAATTGTCACCAGATGCTCTGCATGAGCATCTGCCAGCCTGGGGTGGCTTGTGGTCTGCCTTCTCCTGCACCAGCTCTTGTTTTGAATTCTGCCTTTGGGTGGGGAAATAGAGATGTCCTGGTCCCGGTAGGTTTGGGATTTGAAGCCTCTCCTCCTCCGTCTCCACCCAGGATTTTGTGTTCCCTTGGTGAAGCTGCCAGGCAGCCCTGCGGGATCCCCTGCCTACCCCAGCAGTATCCCGCTGTCCCTTCCCCTCGGAGCAGCTTCTCCGGGCCGAGTGGCACCAGTTTGGCCCAGTTTGGCCCAGTTCCCGCTCTGGTGGGACACGCGGTCCCCAGGCAGCCGGGGGTGTGCTCGCACCCCTCGGGGCTGTGATAACACCGGCCCTGCTCTCACACCCCGCGCGGTGCCGGGCGCTAACGAAGCCCCGAGATGGTTTTGTGCAAACGAGCTGCAGCTGCAGGAGTTGCTATAGAAACACCCGGAGGTGCCAGCTCCTCCAGAAACCCCTAAATGTGCGAGCGGCGGGCAGGGGAAGGTGAGCGGGTGTCGGGGTCTGCCTGCTGTGAGGCAGAAGGAAAAGGAAAAGTGTCTGCCGGGGTTCTGGAGCTCACCCCGGGCCGGGTGGGAGCGGTGCTTCCTCCCTCCCTCCCTCCTGGGATCCTGCTGTGCACTGCCCGTGCCTCCCCTGGGGGTCCTTGCAGGGGCACAAAGGCCACCTGGCTGCTCCCACCAGGCAGAGGGGAGGTGACCCGAAACAGAGCGAGTTCCTGGGCTGTCCCCTTGCCTGCGGCATCACCGTGCCCGTCCCTGCAGCACCGTCATCTCCCGCGGGGCACGAGGCTCCTGCCTGGCTGTGCAGGGAGCTGGGATGTGGGGGTATTCAAGGCTGGAGTGTGGGAGCATGGAGATGGGGAGCAGCGTTTTGGGGGTACTAGAAGAAACAGGTCCTGAGGAGGGGTGTGACATCATTGCTCCAACGGGGCTCTGCATGGGATGGGGGAAGAGATGCAGCTGGTGTCCCCAGCACCCCCGGTGTCCCCAGTACCCCCGGTGTCCCCAGTGTCCCCAGCCCCGGCATTCTCAGCTCCGTGAGGCCTGAGGCCGACTCCCAAGCTGAGTTCATCCCTTTCCCTTCCAGGGATGCCGGGATCCGCAGCTCTGTCCCGCATCCGCCTGGCCCCCGCTCCTCACCCTCCCGCCTTGCCTCCTTTCCGCAGGATTTTCATCCCCAAGAAGCACCGGCAGCGCTTCGACGAGGTGGTGTCGCAGAGCCTCATCAGCAAGCTGTGCCGCTCCAAGAGCGAGCACGGCAACCGCCTGCGCCGCAGCCGCAGCGAGGACCAGCAGGAGCGGCTGCTCGTGTCCACCCGCGCCAGCTCCGTGCCCCGCAGCCACGAGGAGCTCGGCAAGAGCCTGCGCAAGACCACCTCGCTCGTCAGCAGCAATGTGGCCTCGGGGGCTGCCCGCAGGTACCGCTCTGCTGGGGTGGGTGCGAGGCGGGATGGGATGAGGGAGGGGTGCCGGGGGAAGGGTGGGATGCTCGGTGTGGAGCTCGCCTGGGGTCAGCATGAGCAAAGATCTCTCCCTCTGGAAGGCTGGGCAGCTGTGTGCCCCTTGTCCCAGCTCCGGGGCACCCTCTGTGTCCCCTCAGCTCCGCGGGGCTAGCTGGAGGAGGTGGGGTGGCACTTGCAGGCTGAGAGGGGATGTTTGCTCCTTGCTGGGTGGGATGCAGGCTGTGCCAGCAGGATTCGGGATACCCGGCTGTGCCAGCAGGATTCGGGATACCCAGCTGTGCCAGCAGCATTCGGGGTGCCAGGCTGTGCCAGCAGGATTTGGGGCACCCAGCTGTGCCAGCAGGACTCAGGGTACCCCTCTATGCCAGCAGGATTCGGGGTACAGAGCAGGCTGAAAGGAGCCAGGTTGGGGTTGGTCTCTTTGCCCAGGTAACAAGTGACAGGACGAGAGGAAATGGCCTCAGCTTGCAGCAGGGAAGTTTGGGTTTGGATGTCAGGGAGCATTCCTGCCCAGCAGAGGCTGCCAGGCGCTGTCACAGGGCAGTGCTGGTGCCAGGCACTGTCACAGGGCAGTGCTGCAGTCCCCATCCTGGAAAGGGTGAGGAGGTGGTGGCCGTGGCACTGAGGGCACGGTCACGGTGAGCACGGATTGCTGCTGGCTGGATTTCATACCCTGAAAGGACTTCTCCAGCCCTAGGATCCCCTGGTTCGAGGCGGTGCCCGGCCCTGCCCCGCCCCAGCAGTGTCTGGGTGCCAGGCTGCGGGAGGAAGGCAGGACAAGACAATCCCTGCACGGGGATTAACCCACTTCCCTGCCGGTGCCCAGATGGCCAGAGCCCAGCCCCTGCTGCCTGCAGAGCCTGCCCCGACCCGGCCAGCCGGAGAGCAGGGGGATCCAGCCGCCTTCCTGCCAGGCTGATCTGCCCCGTGCCTTGTCCAAAATGCACTCCCAGCCCAGCCTCCCTCTGGCAGCGCAGGATCCCGCTGGTTGGAAATGATCTCAGTAATGCTGCCGACCCCCAGCCCCCTGCAGGAACAGCTCCCAGCTCCAGTCAGCCTCCCAGCAGGGAGATTTCCTAATGCTCCTTCCAAAATTTCCTGGAGGAGTTTAATTCCTCTCTCATCAGCCTATGAGACCTTTGCTCCCTGAACCACATTGTCTCTAATTCTGTGTAATAAAGAATCACAGGCTGGTTTGGGTTGGTGGAGCCCTTAAAGATCATCCAATTCCAACTCTCTGCCATGGGGGGTTGGAACCAGATGATTTTTAGCTTTTATACACACATTTATTCTTTATTCTTTAAATCTATATATTTATCCCATATTCCACTTTGAAACCACATCTGAAAGACACTTTGGTGTCAAAGGGGACCTCGTGGGGACATTGGGAGCGTTGGGGACTTGAGCACTCAGGAGAACCAGGGCCAGCAGGGTTGTGGAGGGGCTGGGGAGGGAAACCACAGCTGGATCTTGTACTCTGACATCCTGTTTGCCTTTTTCACCCCAGAACTGTGCGGGTTTATAAAGGCAACAGGAGCTTTGGCTTCACGCTCCGCGGGCACGCCCCGGTGTGGATCGAGTCTGTCCTGCCAGGTAAGAACACGAGATTGGGGCATCACAGCCTCAGCTCTGCTCTGAACTAGAAATGCTAAGTGCTGTTTGCTAGAAAAGAGCAAAAGGGGCTTTCCCAAGGCTCAGTGATGGAGTTTTTCCAGTGGAATAAGGAGCATCTTTGGTACAGTTTGGCTTGCCTTTATCCACTCCGTGTTGGGAGGAGTGGGAGATGTGTTCAGGACCATCCTGAAAGGCCACCAGTGCTCCCAGTGCAGGCTGGGTGCTGCACCCAGCTGCGTGAACGGCCCCAGCCCACCCCGAAGGGCCAGGTGCAGGGGGTGCCCTGCCTGGGGGTGTCCCTGGACCCCCATCCCAGCCAGGGGTGCTGCAGCTGAAGCCCCTTTGTGCCTTTAGGGAGCCCGGCGGAGAAGGCTGCCCTCAAAGCTGGAGACAGGATCCTGTTCCTCAACGGCCTGGACATGAGGTAGGAGCTGAGGGCACCAGGGCAGGGCTGGGCACACGCTGTGGTCACTCCTGGGCAAGGGGAACAGGAACTGCTGGCCCTGCTGCCCTGCCAGGCACAGGGCTTTGCCCTGAGGGGACAGTGGGGACAGCTCATTTAGTGCTGCTGTACAAAACCTGGCTCTGAGAGGAGCATTTTCTCCAGCCCTGCTCCTCCTCTGAGTTCTCTGTGCAGGACAGTTTATATGGCCTGGCTTCTGACTGCAGCCTGCCCCCAGACCCCAATTTCAGGCACTCTGAGTTAATGTGTGTGTGTTAAACACCTGAGGTTCTGCTTTGGAGAGTAGCAGAGCCCCAGCCAGCCCAGGAATCACTCCCACGATGGGATCGTAAGCTCAAAGCCAGGTGGGAATCCCATTTGTACCAGGAAGTTAATTCCATGTGTTGTTTGTGGGACCAGAGGGACTTGTGCCCCTCACCAGTGCTGTGTCCTCGGGTGTGTCTTTCTGCATAAAAACCAAGAGCAAAGGGTTAGAGGAGGCTGCAGGACAAGAGAGGGTGATGAATATTTAAAGGTTAAACCGATGCTGCTCTGTCAGGGCTCAGGTTCTCACGTTTCAGCTGATCCAGCGAACTGCTGGCTGATGCAGCACTGCCAGAAAAAAAGAGACCGGCTTGAGGATTGTCCTCTGAGCCCTGGTTTTGGAAGGCATTGTCCCAGCCTGGCCCGTACCCTTCTCCAAGGGCATCCCAAGATTTTTTTTCACCTACAAAATTACACTTTATATTCACCTTGCGTTTTCTTTTCACGCGGAATTAGGACAGGCGAGGACAGACCCGCAGCGCTGTGTTATTTAAAGGAAAAATCATTTTCTGGGTCTGGGTGTAGCTTAACTCTGCCTTCCTGTGCCGTGACACTCCTCAGGGCGGCCAGGGGCATTCCCTTGGTTATTCCTTGGTGCACTCATGGGGCAGGATCCGGGCCGTCCCTCGGGGGCTGCACAGATGGAGAGAATCCAGGGAATCTCAGCGGTGCCCAAACCCCTGTGGCTCTGAGCAGCACGAGGAGGCTTTCCCAAGGCAGAGGAAGGCAGCTGCCGGCTGTGTGTGCTCAGTGCTGCCCGGGGCAGCTCTCACCGGGCTCTCTGTGCCCGCAGGAGCTGCTCCCACGACAAGGTGGTGTCGATGCTGCAGGGCAGCGGGGCCATGCCCACCTTGGTGGTGGAAGAGGGCATCGTCAGCTTCCCCAGCGGTAAGAGTGCAGGGGGGAGGGTCTGCGGAGCAGCAAGCCCATGCCAGCTCCCCAATTCCTGCTGCAGGAGGGGATTGCTGGGGCCTCCACCGGCCGAGCAGGTTAACGCGCTGCCCGGGGGATGCTGCTCTGCCCAGGGCACGTGGGCCTTGCTCTGTGGGATCAGGCTGGATCCCAGGCTTGGCTGCTCTCCAGGAGGGCTCATCCTGCTGCGTGGCTGTCCTCGGTGTCCCTCGCAGTGTCCTTCCTGTGCGGCGTGTGTCCTTGTGCGCAGTAACCCAACGCCTGCAGGGTGCTGCACAAAGCCCCGGGGCTGGGCTGTGCAGGGTTCTTATCCTGCTGCAGGGATCGGTGCCTGGTCAGAGCTCAGGGTGCCTGGGGCACTCAGGGTGCCCACGGAGGGCAGGATCCCCCGGGCACAGCATGGTCCCCAAGCCCTGTGCAGGCTGGGGTTCCCTGTGCAGACTGGGGGGGTTCCCTGTGCAGGCTGGGGCAGTCCCTATGCAGGCTGGGGGGTTCCTTGTGCAGGCTGAGGGTCCCTGTGCAAGCTGGGGGGTGTCCCTGTGCAGGCTGGGGGGTTCCCTGTGCAGACTGGGGGGGTTCCCTGTGCAGACTGGGGGGATCCCTGTGCAGGCTGGGGGGTGTCCCTGTGCAGGCTGGGGCAGTCCCTGTGCAGGCTGAGGGTCCCTGTGCTGTTGGGGTGCTGCTCCCCAATGCCCAGAGCTGGGAGCCAGGGCCTGGCTGTCCCTCTGGAGCAGCACTGCCCTCCCCTCAGCCCCACGTTAGGAGCCCCAGCTCGTTTGCAGGTGCACCCAGACCAACCCCAGCAGCTCCCTGCTGCACACAGCCCCAGCAGCCTGGGATGGTTTGGATTGCAAGGGACTTAAAGACGATCTCATTTCACCCCCCTGCCTTGGGCAGGGATACCTTCCACCAGACCAGGTTGTTCCAAACCCCATCCATCCCGACCCACTCCAAAGCACACAGCCAGTGACCCTCCAACTGCTCCACTGCCCTCAAAAGAAGCCAAGGAAAGACGGAATATTTATTTTGCAGACTCTGACTCTGCTGAGTCCCCGAGCAGCTCCTCGGCCCTCACCTCCCTGCAGTGGGTGGCAGAGATCCTCCCCTCTAGCATCAAGATCCAGGGGAGGACGTTCACGCAGCAGCTGGAGCACCTGCTGACCCCGCCCGAGCGTTTCTCCGTCTGCAAGGCTCTGGAGGGCTTCTTCCAGCACCGGTAACTCCTGCCAGCTGGGAGCCCTCCCGCTGGCACCTGGCCTGCAGCAGCGCCAGGTCCCTGTCAGGCAGGGCACAGCTGGCTGGCACACCAGCTCTGCTGTCCCTCCAGCCTCCCCAGCCAGGGCTTCCCTGGGCACGAGCTCGTCTGAGCCCGGGTATCCTGCCTGGGGACAGGGCACATCCTTCAGGTGTTGGTTCCTTTAGGTTAAGCTGGTCACCTCTTATCCCCCAGTGCAGGCTGTCTTGCAGCCTGGCTGTCCCTGACAGCCGCAGATCCTGTTCCACCTCTTCCAGTGAATCTCTCCACGTTCCACCCTTGTCTCCTCAGGATTCCCAGAATCCTGCCTGCAGCATTCCTTGGGGGCTGCACGGGAATGGCTGTGGCTGGCAGAGCCCTTGTCCTGCCATGGAGCACATCCCCCCTGTCCCGTACAGGGATCCAGCCACGTCCCCTGGCACACTCAGATCCCAGCAGTGACCTCCTTTCCTGCCATGCTTGGGCTTCCAGCACTGTCACAAAATCATGGAATGATTTGAGTTAGAAGGGACCTTAAAGAACATCTTGTTCCACCCCTGCCATGGCAGGGTCACTTCCACAGTCCCAGGCTGCTCCCAGCTCTGTCCAGCCTGGCCTGGGCACTGCCAGGGATCCAGGCTGCTCTGGGCACCCTGTGCCAGGGCAGAATTCCATCCTCTTGCAGGCTGTTCTATCCTCATGGGATGGGGTGCTCAGCTGTTCCCAACAGCCCTTTTCCCTGCTCTACACACCAAAATCAGATGGAGCCTTTGGCCCCAGGAGCTGCCAGGCCAGCCACCCTCCCTGCTGCATTTCTCCCTCAGCCAGAGGGACACTGTCACTGCCCAGCCCTCTCCTGTTTGTCAGGAGCATTGTCACTGTCACTGCCCAGCCCACATTGTCACTGTCACTGCCCAGCCCACATTGTCACTGTCACTGCCCAGCCCACATTGTCACTGTCACTGCCCAGCCCACATTGTCACTGTCACTGCCCAGCCCACATTGTCACTGTCACTGCCCAGCCCACATTGTCACTGTCACTGCCCAGCCCACATTGTCACTGTCACTGCCCAGCCCTCTCCTGTTTTGCAGGAACATTGACACTCTCATTGTGGATGTGTACCCGGTGCTGGACACCCCAGCCAAGCAAGTCCTCTGGCAGTTTATCTACCAGCTGCTGAGCTACGAGGAGCAGGAGCACTGCCAGCAAAAGATTGACAGGTTTCTGGGGTACAAGGCCTTGGCAGGTGAGGGAGTCCCCGTGCTCCAGGAGGGACACGCCGTGTCCTGGCGGGTGCTGGCAGCTCAGTCCCTTTTGGTGGTGTAATTTTGGAATGAAACTGCAGGGAGAGGACAGATGGCACCTGAGAGGGTGACTCTGGCAGCTTTTGGAAGCTGCTCAGGTGGTTAGAGGTGAGGGAGTCCAGAACAGCTGGTGTGAGGGCAGCATTCAGATCAGAGAGGTGAAATAAGGGTGACACAGCGTCCCTTGGGATGCTACAGAAACATCCCTGGTTGGAAGAGGTGCTGCTGCTCTCCCAAAAAGGCAGTTGGTGATCCCCTTGTCCCTGGTCCCCTGTCCCCTCACCATCACCCTCACCTGGCTCTGTGGCAGCACAAAGCCAGCGGTGTACAGGGGAGAGCAGGTTTGAAGTGAAATGTCCTCATCTGTGTGTTTGCACTTTTAATTGCTTCCAATTTTCCTGTTCTCAGCTGCTCACACAGAGTTAATTTTAGACTCAGCAAAGGTAAAAAGAAGTGTTGTTTTGGAGGAGCACAGTGATTTTAGCAGAAAACAGAACCAAGTCCTGGTGCAAATCCTCCCTGTTGTGCCCAGGATCCTGCGGTTGTTTTGGAGGAGCACAGTGATTTTAGCAGAAAACAGAAGCAGCTCCAAGTCCTGGTGCAAATCCTCCTGTTGTGCCCGGGATCCTGCAATCCACGCACGCTGGATCTGCTCACTGGATTTGCACTCAGCCACCTCTGCTTTGTGTGTGCACAAAGCTCAGCTTTTGTGTGTGCACAAAGCTCAGCCCAGGGCTGTGGGATCCCAGGAATTCATGCCCTGTGTTCAGTGTACAGTTCCCAGCTGCATTCCAGGAATGCCCAGCCAGGGAAAGGGAAGCACAGGAGCAGATCTCCCTGTCCAGGCTGCTGTTCCCAGCTGATCCCTGGCTGCTCTCAGTGTCTCAGTGAACGGGGCAGTCTCTGCATGAGCAGTTTTGGTTGTTCTGGTCTGTTCTGTGTCTGTGCCTGGCAGCAGCATGGCCAGAGATCTCTGGGTTTGGGCTGCTCCTTCCCCTGGGCTTCCAAACCCTGGTGATTTCCCATGTCCCAGTGCTGCTCTGCTGGGATGGATGCTCCATTCCTCCGTCCTGCTGTGAGCTCCCTGATCTGCACATGGACCATGCAGGGGCCGTGTGCTCCTTCCAGGCAGCATTCCAGGGCTGGCACCTCTTCCTTCCTTTCCCTTGGGGGCAGGAAGGCTTTACTGGGAGCAGCCCATCTCGGGGCTGGACTTCCATGCAGGCCATGAGCTGGTGGGTGGCAATCCTGCTGGAAAAAGGGCCTGGATGTCCCATCCCTGAGCATCCATCCCTGCCCTGTGCTGGCAGCAGCACCTGGAGCCTGCTCAGCTCCCGGGCATGGAGCGAGCTGCCTGGGAATGGCAGCTGCTGTGAGTCCCATGGGCCTGGGGGGCTCTGGGAGCTCTGGGGGGCCCCAGGGGGCCCCGTGCAGGGTGGGGAGCTGTGGGTCTGGCTGTGCCTCACGGAGGTGTTTCCTGTGCAGCCGAGGCAGAGGCTGAGGATCGGTACCGCAGCTCCGTCCGCGGCTCCTCCCTGTGCCGGGGCAGCCTCCGGACCCCCCGCCCTGAGGAGGGGGCAGCAGGTGGGTGACTGGGGCTGGGACACGGGGGTTCTGCCTGCTGAGTGCTGCTCTGCCCCCAGCCAAATTCCCGACCTGTTCCTCAGCATGAACGATGGGAAAAGATGGAGGAAAGGTGGAGGGAGGTCAGAGCAGAGCCAGCAGTGAGGCACCGGCTGGAAATCATTGTTTTCAGAAACAGAATGACAGAATTATAGAATCACTGAATCATTTAGGTTGGAAAACCCTCAAAGATCATCAGGTCCAACCTGTGAGTGATCCCCACCTTGTCGCCCAGCCCAGAGCACTGAGTGCCACATCCAGGGGTGCCTTGGACACCTCCAGGGACAGCAATTCCATAATGACAGAACCAATTCAGTAAGAGACCACTTCATCATGAGGCTGAATGCTATTTCCAACCCTTTCCATTACTCAGATGTGAGCTGGTCCTGCTGGTCTGGGCCCCCCCTTCTGGGAGTAAAATTTATGGCTTCCCTCTGAACATTCTCAGAATCCATCAAATTAACAGGGAAATCCATGTGAGGAAGGAGATCATGGTTCAGGGCCACTTGGAGACTCCTGACAGGCCCCATTCGTGGCAGCAGCCCTGCCTCCCTTCAGGGGACACAGACCTGCCTGTTCCCATGGCTCCTGGCTGATGCTGAAGGGCCTTGACCTGTGCTGCTGGCCACGACCTCCCCCTGACCTCCCTAAGGACCTCCCGGGCATGTGGTGTCCCTCAGCTCTCAGGGGGGTCTCAGACACTTCCCAGGGCAGATCCTCTGACCTGGCTCTGAGGAGATCTTCTGGTGGGGATTAGAGCCCAGAGAGCAGCCGACAGCTGTGTGTGCTGGAGGGGAGCCGTGTCTGGGCAGATGTTGGCCAGCTGTGGGGAGCAGCCCTGTCCTCAGCTGCCCCGAGGGAAGAGGGGAGCAGCTTGGAACTGTCTGCTGACCTCAAACCCGCCCTGCACTGCTCCCTCGGGACCCCCAGGGCCGGGAGCTGGGGCAGGGAGCTCACCCCAGGTCCCAGCAAGAGACAGGGGCCCCGTGTGGGTGGGGGCTGTGGGGGCTGGGGGCACAGGCAGAGCATGACTGGTTTGTCTCTCCCTCCCGCAGGCAGTGACACCGTGGAGGTCCCCGTTCGCCTGATCCCTGGAGAGAGACAGGCTGGTGATGGCACATCCCTCCCGGAGACACCCAACCCCAAAATGGTGTGCCGGGGCAGGGGACACCTCTGGCAGGGCTTTGGCCACGTGGGTGGGGTGGTGTGTCCACGGGAAGGCAGTTTGGTTCCTTTACTGTGAGCACAGGGCAGAGGAAGAAGGGAATGATGTGTCTGTGGGTGAATACCTGCAGGGGCTGACGGTGTCCTTGCCCCTCTCTGAGGCCACGTCCCTGGGCAATTAGTCACCTTTAATGAGGCTGATGTCTTCCTGCAACCTCAGCAGTGAGAGGCTCTTGTGGGGCTCAGACAGGGCAGAGCAGCCTGGGCTGGGGTGAAGCCCCCCCTTTATACAGTAAGAGATGGGTACTGGTGGGCCAGAGAGTCCCAGAAAGGTTTGGGTTGGAAGGACCCCAAAGCCCACCCAGTGCCACCCCTGCCATGGCAGGGACACCTCCCACTGCCCCAGGCTGCTCCCAGCCCCATCCAGCCTGGCCTGGGCACTGCCAGGGAGCCAGGGGCAGCCTGGCCTGTGGGGACTGTCCTGTCCCCAGGACATGGCAGGTCTCTGGGGCAGGTCTCTGGGGCTCCACAGGCCCCGGGCACAGCAGCAGCTCTGTGTCCTTCCCCAGATGTCGGCCGTGTACGCGGAGCTGGAGAACCGCCTGATCGGCGGCTTTGCCGGCAAGGTGGGCAACGCTGCCCTGCACAGGACATCACCCCCCGCCCCCGAGCTGCCACACGCTGCAGGTACCTCGGGGGGACCTCAGGGGACGGAGGGCAGAGCTGGCCAGGCGGGTGGGGGAGAAGACAGCGGCCTCTTGGTGCCGTTTCCCAAGGCGCCGGCGATGGTTCTGCGGGTGAGCTCTGCAGAGCTCCGGCTGCCGGGGGGCAGTGGCGTGTGTGGGACGGTTCATCCCGTGGGATCACAGCCCGGCAAGCTCCCTGCTCCTCCCCTCTCCTCGGGCTCCTGCCTCCCATGCCCGGGGGCTGCAGGACACCCACGAACCCCCCTCGCTCTGCCCTACAGGTGGCCGCAAGCCGGGGCTGGCGTGGCCGAGCGAGCTGGCGAGCCAGCCCTGCTACTACCGGCTGCACAGCAGCGTGGCCTCGCCGTGCAGCACCGAGTCCAACCCCTACGTCAGCCTGGACAGCAGCCCGGCCCCGTCGCCCAAGCACCGCGAGTACTCGCCGCTGTCGCGACGGAAGAAGCTCTTCACCTTCTCCAGGCCCCCGCGCAGCCGCGACACCGACCGGTTCCTGGACGCCCTCAGCGAGCAGCTGGGACACCGCGTCACCATCGTGGATGATTTCCTCACCCCGGAGAATGACTACGAGGAGGTGAGCGTGGCACGGGGCTGCTCAGAGCAGCTGCGGCGCCCTGGGCGTGGAGCCGCCCACGTGCGGGCTCAGGGGACACGTCCTGGGCTCTGCAGGTGGCAGGGAGGGGCAGGAGACACCAGGGTGGGATGGAGGGATGGATGGATGGATGGATGGATGGATGGATGGATGGATGGATGGATGGATGGATGATATGGATGGAGGATATGGATGGAGGATGAGGAGGATGGAGGATGTAGATGGAAGATATGGATGGAGGAGGATGGAGGATGTGGGTCGAGGATGAGGAGGATGGTGGATGGAGGACGAGGAGCATGAAGAATGTGAGTGGAGGACAAGGAGCATGGAGGATGTGGATGGAGGACAAGGAAGAGGGAGGATGAAGAGGATGAGGAGAATGGAGGATGTGGATGGAGGATGAGGAAGATGGAGGATGTAGATGGAGGATAAGGATGGAGGATGAGGAGGACGGAGGATGTGGATGGAGAATATGGATGGAGGATGAAGAGGATGGAGGATGTGTGTGGAGGACAAGGAGGATGGAGGATATGGATGGAGGATGAGGAGGATGGAGGATATGGATGGAGGATGAGGAGGATGGAGGATATGGATGGAGGATGTGTGTGGAGGATGAGGAGGATGGAGGATGTGGATGGAGGACAAGGTTCCACCTTCAGCCCGTGCTGTGTGCCCACCCAGATGAGCTTCCAGGATGACCAGGGCAGCTACGTCACCAACGACGTCAGCAGCAGCGAGTACATCAGCAGCAGCGACGAGGGCAGCTCCCTGACCTACTCCACGCTCTCGGACCACATCCCCCCTCCTCCGCTCAGCCCCCCGCCCCCGCCGCCCCCCCTGCAGTTCCACGACCCCCAGAGCGGCCCCACCAAGGCTGAGGTCGCCAAGGCCAGCGCGGTCCCGGCCCCCAAGTCCCTGGTGGGCCACCTGCACCCCATCCCGCCGCCGCCGCCGCCGCCCCCGCCGCCCACGGTGCCCTGCGCCCCCCCCCTGCACCGGGGGCTGCTGCACCGCCGCAGCGAGTCCAACCACATGAGCGTCAAGAGGCTGCGCTGGGAGCAGGTGGAGAACTCGGAGGGGACCATCTGGGGGCAGGTACGGCCCGGGAGAGGGCAGTGGGGGGAGGCACGGGGGTCCCCGGCGAGCTTTGACCTGTGCGAGGCTCTGCAGGGCTCCCGTTCGTCCTTGGGTTGTTTGGGCCAAACTGCTGGGCTGGGGAGAGGCCTTGGGAAGCCTCTGAGCTGCTGAATTTGTCCACAGCATCGTGGGGAGCACTTCCCTGCCCTCAGGGGTTGCCTCCAGATGTGTTCTGCAGCTGTGAGGGGGGTTTCAGTGAGGAAGGATGGGGATGGTTGGAGCAGTGATGGGAGAGCCCCGAGAGTGGAGGGGACAGCAGAGGTGAGGGGTGAGACAAGACATGGCAATCCCCTGGCATCATGGCCATGACGTGGTGCAGGACTCCGAGGTGGATCCAGTCCCTTCCCGGGTTTAGCTCCCAGCCTCAGGTCCCTCCTGTGTTCAGGACATGCCATGTTCCCTGCGCCCTGAGCAGCCAGAGGGGAGCTGTGGGATCACCTTCCAGTCCCACAGGCACTCAAACCCTGCCGGTCCCTCTCCTCAGCACTCCAGGAAGGAAGATCCTTCTTCACAGTGATTTTTCAGTGTGCAGAAAAATCCCTGAAGCTCCGGGAATTCCCATTTTATCCTTCAGTGTGGGATCATGCCCAAGAAGCAATGAAGACAGAGGTGCTCTGTAGGATTTCAGCTGTGTCAGGAGCTGAGGGAATCTGCAGGGCACTGGCTGAGCCTCCTGTCACAGGAGGGTGCCACCAGCTTGTCCTGGGGACACGAGCTGAGTGTGGGGACAGGGAATGTGCCAGCAGAGGTGGCACTGTCGGGCTGTCCCTGTGCCAGCACAGCTCCTGACTCCTCCTCCCCACAGCTCGGGGAAGACTCGGATTACGACAAGCTGAGCGATATGGTCAAATACCTCGACCTGGAGCTGCACTTTGGGACTCAGAAGCCCACGAGTAAGTACTGAGCCCCAGAGCAGGTCCTGGTGCCAGCTGGGAGGGACTGGGAGGGACTGGGAGGAGCTGGGGCTCGGTGGGCAGCAAGGCAATGCCTGTCTGTGACATCACCCGTGGCACGAATTTGTTCATCCTCAGGGTTTTGTGCTGGTGGCACAGTGGGTCATTAAGGTGGAGATGGTTTCATTATCTCCCTTAATTATCTCTGCTGCCGTGATTTATTTTCTCTCCATTTCACTGGGCACTGAAACCTGGCTGGAGGCTTTCACCAATTGCAATTCCACCAATTCCAGCTTGAGAACTCTGGAATGCTGAAAAAGCCCTGAAAACATTCTTGTGTCCAAAGAAATCCTCACCAGCAGCACTTGACTCTTTATGAAATAATCATAATGTCCCCCAGGAGCTGTGGTGGCCCTGGAGCTCTGTGCCTGTGCAGCTCCCATCACTCTTCACTGGGGTCTCCCACAGCCCCACTGGGATCCTCACCAGAGGAGTTTTTGGGTGCCACAAGCCCGGAGCAGGTCCAGGCTGGGCGTGATCACTGGTGATCCCGTGGGAGCATTCCAGTAAAGCTAGTGGGATGGCTGAGCTCTGCTGCAAGGAGCCCAGCTGGCAGTGGGTGACATGGACTCATCTCAGGGGACACAGTTCTTGGGATGTTTCTGAGCAGTCTGGGGTTTTCTGTGTGTTTCACCTCTTGTTTTACCTTTTTCAGCTCCAACTGAGTCCTCCATTGGGGAGATCTTTGAATTGCAGAATTCAAGGATTCCTGGAGCCATTGCTGTGTGCCAAGCATCCGTCCTGCTCTCTTTCATTCGTGGTTTCACTGTTTGCAGGACAGTTTTCTTCCCGCTGGAGCCGCCTGAGCCTGTCCTTACCCGTGATTAAATCTTTCAGTTTCTCTTCCAGAGCCAACTCTCATGCCTGAAAACTTTAAAAAGAAAGACGTGGTTGAAATTTTGTCCCACAAAAAGGCCTACAACACATGTAAGTGAAGTCCAGGGTGAAGGTACCCCCAAAAGGGGCCCACAGGTGGGATGTAGAGAACTGGAAAGGTAAAGGGAAGGAACACGAGCTCCATCCCATGGGCACAGCTCAGCTGAGATGGACTCTTCTGCAGCTCAGAGCTGCCCCAGACTGCGTTCATTCCGGGCAGGGGAAGGAGGGAACTTTTGGGGAAGGATGGGGATGGGATGTGCCTGGTGGTCCTGCAGAGCCCGCAGGGAAGCGGGGCAGTGGAGGGGCCGTGCTGCCTCTCCAGGATGTTTCTGGTCGGGAGGAGGCTGGGAGGGCTCGGTGGGACCCTGCCAGGGATCCCCCGGCTCGGGGGGAGGTGGGAGCAGGGCCGGTGCCAGGGCAGCCCAGCCCGGGGAGTGGGTGAGGTGCACGACGTGCCCTGGGGGCTGCAGGACCAGAGCCGCCCGTGGGTGCCCACGCAGCCCCCGCAGGATCCCAGAGAGGGGGAAACCTTCCCTGTGCCAGGGCTGTGCCAGCCGGGGCACCTGCACGGGAAGGTGGATGTCCCGCTCCTGTCCCCGATCCTGCCGGGCAGTGTGTCCCCAGCACTGCGGGCAGTGTGTCCCCGATCCTGCAGGGCAGTGTGTCCCCAGCACTCCGGGCAGTGTGTCCCCTGTCCTGCCGGGCAGTGTGTCCCCAGCACTGCCACCCCCCCGGGGTCCCCTCCTTCCCCCCGAGTGACAGGGTTGTTCCTCCCTCCCCAGCCATCCTGATCGCGCACCTGAAGCTGTCGCACGTGGAGCTGCGGCAGATCCTGATGACGATGGAGACGGATCGCCTGGAGCCGTCCCACATCAAGCAGCTCCTGCTCTACGCCCCGGACGGGGAGGAGGTGCAGCGCTTCCAGAGCTACAAGGAGAGCCCCGGCAAGCTGAGCGAGCCCGACCAGTTCGTGCTGCAGGTACCGGGCAGGGCTGGGCTCTGGGGCTGTGTGCCTGTCCTGCCGGCAGCACACTCACACCTTGGCTGTGTGTGCCTGTCCTGCCAGCAGCACACTCACACCTGGGGCTGGTGGCACTGGGACCGTGGGGGTGATGCTCAGTTGATGCCTGCAGGCTCTGGCAGCTCCCATGGGCCGGTTCAGAGCTGCAGAGCCACCCCCATGTCTGCTCCCTGGTGACAGTGACTTTGCCCAGCTCTGGTTTATGTTCTCTGGAGGAAGTCACCCATGGATGTTGGTGTGGGAGTGCCCATCCCGTGGCAGCACACCTGCCCAGCACTCCCCGTGCCACCTGCAGCTCCTGCACTCCCTGTGCCACCTGCATCTCCTGCGCTCCCCGTGCCACCTGCAGCTGCTGCTCCATGCACAGGGCAGGAGGAGCCCTGTGAGGGGCTGTGGCACTGCAGGTGGTGACCCTGCCCTCCTCCTGCCCAGATGCTGTCGGTGCCCGAGTACAAGATCCGCCTGCGCAGCCTGCACTTCAAGACCACCCTGCAGGAGAAGACCGAGGAGATCAAAGCCAGCTATGAGTGCATCTGCAAGGCCTCCCTGGAGCTGAAAAGCAGCAAGAAGCTGGCAAAGATCCTGGAGGTGAGAGCAGTCCCTGCCCCTTGGGACAGCCTCCACTGGCCCTCAGCATTGCCCAGGAGCCCCCACGGCTGTGTCCCACAGCTGGGCAGCATCCCAGGCTGCTCCCTGTGCCCCCCACACTGCCCTTCCCCCTGAGGAGGTGTTTTTGGTGTCCTGGGATGAGCTGTGCCTGGCAGAGAGAGAACAAATTCCACTGCAGGTCCTCCGTGACCGTGCTCAGATGAGCTGTCCCAAATTGCTGTTCATTCATTTGGTTTTGCTTTAAAAAAACAAAAAAAAAACCCCAAACAAACAAACAAAAAAAACAAACCAAAAAAAACCCAAAAAAACCAAACACCCCAGAAAAACCAGGTGGGACAAATGAGGTCACTGTGTGCTCAGAGGCATTAGCAGAGGAGTGATGAAACTCCTCAGTAGATCCTGGACAGTGACCCCCCACCAGATCCTTAGATCCATGGGGACAGTGTTTTCCTGCACATTATTGGGTGGGGAAGAGAAATTCAGAGTGCCAGGAGCTGGGAGGACACAGGGGCGGGAGCTCACCAGCCCCTCACCCCCTGCTCTGCTCTTTGCAGTTCGTGCTGGCCATGGGGAACTACCTGAACAACGGGCAGCCCAAGACCAGCAAAACAACAGGATTTAAAATCAACTTCCTCACCGAGGTGAGGAGAGGCAGGCTCGCTCCTGGGGCAGGGACACCGAGCTGGGAGCTCCCTGTGCCCAGCAAAGCTGCTCTCACAGGAGACCCTGGGTGCCAGGGAGGGGCTGGATTGATCCACAGGGGGATTTCAGGGGGGCTCTGGTGGCTTCTGGTGGGAATCCTGCTCACCTTGGGCTGGCAGGGCCCAGGGGTGGTGGGAGAGGTGCTCACCCCACAGGGTGACAGGGGTGGGGACAGGGGACAGCCCTGCCCTGCAGGAGGGGCATCTCCACAGCCCTCAGCTGGCACAGGTGCTGTGTAAACATTAAATGTGCACTTTAACCATTAACCCCGGGCACGTGGGGCTGAGCCAGCAGCAGCCCACCCCCCGTGTGCGTGAGCCCCTCCCTCTGCAGGGGGGTCCTCACTTGTTCTGCTTCGCTGCAGCTGAACACCACCAAGACCGTGGATGGGAAATCCACCTTCCTGCACATCCTCGCCAAATCCCTCAGCCAACACTTCCCAGAGCTCCTGGGCTTTGCCAAGGACCTTCCCACGGTGCCGCTCGCTGCCAAAGGTAAAGCACAGAGCAGCTGTGAGCCCCGTGTGTCCCTGCCCTGCCTGGGGTCAGCCAGGAGCTGCACAGCCCTGCCAGGAGCAGGACGGGAGCCTGAGCAGCTGAGGAAATGTCCAGAGCAGCAGGAGAGCCTTAGGAAGGGCCGAGCTCAGTGACAGTGAGGTGGCACCCATCCCACGCTGCTGCACGTGGCAGTGCCTGGGCAAGGCTCTGTCCCTGCCCTGGTGCTCCCTTCTGCCTTCAAACCCTGCTCCCCATGCTCAGAGGCATCTTGGAAGGGCAGGGGAGGCAGAGGAAATGGAAGTGGTGGGGGAGCCACCATCCCTGGGTGTGTTTAAAACAAGACTGGATGTGGCACTTGGTGCCGTGACCTAGCTGAGGTGTTAGAACGTGGGCTGGACTCGATGATCTTAAAGGTCCCTTCCAACCTAGAAACTCCTGGTTCTGTGAAGTGCCAGGAGATGGTGTGGCCCAGCCTCCGTGCAGGTGCCAGCACTGCAGTGCCACGGTCACCTGTGCTGCAGGACCCCGGGGAGGGTCTCAGTTCACTCACAGCTGGCTCACCTTGAATAAACAGCTCAGTTTTCAGCAATGAAAAGCAGGCACACACACTCTGGATTTGTTCTGCATGCTCTGGAGCTGGGGGTGTCACAGGAGGCTGGCAGGTGTGACACAGGAGCAGGGCAGTGCCCGTCCCTGTGCTGGCACTGCTGGGGAGCCTCCAGCCCTGGGGCAGCTCTGGGCCCCCACAACAGGGACCCCGAGGGGCTGGAGCGTGGCCAGGGAAGGGAACAGGGCTGGGCATCGGGCTGGAGCTCCAGGAGAGGCTGAGGGAGCTGGGGAGGGGCTCAGCCTGGAGAAAAGGGGGATCAGGGGGGACCTTGTGGCTCTGCACAACTCCTGCCAGGAGGGGACAGCCGGGGGGTCGGGCTGTGCTCCAGGGAACAGGGACAGGAGCAGAGGGAACGGCCTCAGGCTGGGCCAGGGCAGCTCAGGGTGGATTTTGGGAGAATTTCCTCCTGGAGGGGCTGCCCAGCCCTGGCCCAGCTGCCCAGGGCAGGGGTGGGGTCCCCATCCCAGGGATGAACAGCCCTGTGCATGTGGCACTTGGGGACAGTGCTTAGGTCAGTGGTGGCTTTGGCAGAGCAGGGGAACAGCTGGGCTGGGTGACCTTGGAGGGCTTTCCCAACCTAAATCATGATTCCACGATTCTGTGATTTTAAACGTTGCATTGAATCTCTACAAAGCACGAGCTGCGTCCCCCTTGCCCACCCTGCCCTGCTGTGGGTGAGCAATTCCCCTGGGAATTGGTGCTGCAGTGGGTAAAGAAAGGAGCAAACTCACCTGGAGCTGTGGATTTCCACGGGAGGAGGGTCTGCACCTGGAGCTTTCCCAGCTGGAATTTCTGTCTGGCCTAACTCTTAAATAACCCTTCCCTCCCTGGAGGCTCCCAGCTGCCCAAACTCCTGCCACTGTGTCCCCCTTGTCCTGATGTCTGTGTCCCTCCTGTGTCACTGTAGGACACGAAACAACATGGCCTGGACACGCTGCTGCTCTCAAGGCAGGAAAAAGGAAGTTTATTTTCTGACTCCAACATTTATACATTTCCAAAGGCGACAGTGGATTGGAGGGTGACACAAACCAACAGTCCATCAAATTTCTCCTCTTCCATAAAAAAAAAAAAAGCAAAACAATAAGTTGTTTACAGAAAGCACTTGGGGAAAAAGGAAGTTTATTTTCTGACTCCAACATTTATACATTTCCAAAGGCGACAGTGGATTGGAGGGTGACACAAACCAACAGTCCATCAAATTTCTCCTCTTCCATAAAAAAAAAAAAGGAAAACAATGAGTTGTTTACAGAAAGCACGTGAAAAAAGTTTGCTGCAAAAAATGCAAACATCAGAAAGCTTAGAAAATCTTACAAAAAATCAAAGCAACACTCCTGGGTGTCCATCCCTGTGTGCCCCCTGTCCTTGGCAGGTTTTGGCACTCCTGGTTGCTCTGGTGTGCTCCTGGTCAGCTGCTGGCCCCAGCAGGACGCTCTGGCTGTCCACCCTGCCTGGACAGCAGGACGTGGGTGCAGAGCAGTGCAGACAGACAGACAGACAGACTGCCCCCCCAGCCCCTCACCCAGCCCCGCTGTCCCCTGCAGTGAACCAGAGGACCCTGACGGCCGAGCTGAAGGACCTGCACAGCACGGTGAGTGACATCCAGAAGGCGTGTCACAGCATGCCGGCCACCGCCGAGGACAGGTTTGCCATCGTCATGAGCGTATCCTTCCGTGAGAGGGGGGGGGGACCTGGCACTGAGTGACACCCTGCCGCTGCCCGGGGGGCTCCCTGTGCCTGCCACTGCCCCAGCAGCTTTGGGGGTGCCCCTGTGTGGCACAGCCCCAGGGAGCGTGCTGGCACACGTTCCAGCACGGTCCTGTGCTCCCTGCTGCCAGCTGGGCTGGAGCCCAGCCATCTGATGAGATTGATAAGGGTTGGGTAGAGGCTGGAACTGGTTGTGTCCAGTTCTGGCCCCCCTCAGTTTAGGGGGGACGTTGAGATGTTTGAACGTGTCCAAAGGAGAGCAGCGAGGCTGGGAACACAACGAGGAACGACTGAGGGAGCTGGGGGTGTTCAGCCTGGAGAAAAGGAGGCTCAGAGGTGACCTTGTCACTCTCTGCAGCCTCCTGAAGGGTGGCTGTGCTGAGCTGGGGGCCAGTCCCTTTCTCCAGACCAAACAAGAGGACACAGCCTCAAGCTGCACCAAGGGAGATACAGGCTGGACTTAAGGAGGAAGTTTTTCACAGAAAGAGAGGTCAAATACTGGAATCATCTGCCCAGGGAGGTGGTGGAGCCACCATCCCTGGGTGTGTTTAAAACAAGACTGGATGTGGCACTTGGTGCCGTGACCTAGCTGAGGTGTTAGAACATGGGCTGGACTCCTTGATCTTAAAGGTCCCTTCCAACCTAGAAATTCTGTGATTCCGTGGAGCAGCTCTTTGTCCTTAAGCCGATCCCTGCAGTCCTTCCTGGAGAGTGCCCAGCCTGCCATGCGCTCCCTGGACGAGCTGCAGCACAAGGCCATGGAGGAGTTCAGCAAGGTGCTCTCCTTCTTCGGGGAGGACTCAAAAGTGACGACTTCTGAAGCCTTCTTTGGCATTTTTGCAGAATTCATGAGCAAGTTTGAGGTGAGTTGAACATTTCCAAGGCAGCCAGGTGTGTCCTGTGGGGTCAGTGAGGTGTCATTTGTGCGTCACTGGGATGGGGTTTTGTGAGCAGCTGCACCCCAATTAGAGGCAACTTTTCCAATGCTGATAAGGTGCAATTTTTCTAACACATAATTGTTGAGGTGAACACCCCATGTGTGGAGACACAAGGCTTGATTCCGTTTTCTCAGAAGGCTGATTTATTACCTTATATGTTATATTAAAATACTACATAAAGCTATACTAAAAGAACAGAGAGAAAAGATGATCAGAAAGTTACAAAGAACAAGAATAGGATCGAATGCATAACAAAATGCTGTGACTGCTCACAGCCCCAGCACAGGTGGCTGTGACTGGCCATCAATTGAAAACAATCCACACGGATCAATGCAAGATGCACTGTTGCATTCCACAGCAGCACACGGTTGTTGTTTACATTTCTTTCCTGGGGCTCCCAGCTCCTCAGGAGGGAAAAATCCTAGGAAAGGATTTTTGGTAAAATATCATAGCTACACACAATCAGGGTGGCACACTGAGGGAGGCCTCAAGCACAAGGGGAGAGTGATGTGGTTGTTCATAGAGTCCTGGAATGGTTTGGGCTGGAAGGGAACTTAAAATCACTCCCTGCCACGGCAGGGACACCTTCCACTGTGCCAGGCTGCTCCCAGCCCTGTCCAGCCTGGCCTGGGCACTGCCAGGGATGCAGGGACACCCCCAGCTGCCCTGGGCACCCTGTGCCAGTGTCCTGAACCTGCTGGTGCCACAGCAGCCGCTCAGCGCTGCCCTTTGTGTCCCACAGCGGGCTCTCAGTGACGTGCAGGTGGGCGAGAGCCAGCGCAGCCCCAGGATGACCTCCCCCCTCGCCTGGTGACATCCTGAGGCCGCCCGAGGTGTGACAATTCCTTGCCAACAAAGTGCAATTTGCTCCTGTCCAGTCTGGTTGTAAATACGCTGCTGCCACCTGCTACCACCCAGCAGAGCCACGGACAGAGGGGACACTGAGGAGGCACCGCAGGTGACAGAGGGTGACAACGAAGACAAACCCTGCCTGGCCCTGCACTGACAGAGCTTCCTCAGCACCCTCCGCTCCCAGGGGATCCCTGCGCCCAGGGGTTTGTGTCCATCTGGTAAAACCCCACCGTGCCACGTTTCCCAGACTGCTGTGACTGGCCCCAGCAGCTGCTGGAGACCCTCCCCACACCCCCAGGGCCCTGCCCGAGCGTGGGGGCTCTGCCCAGGCAGCCCTGGGCTGGGGACAGCCCGGCCACAGAGCCCTGGAGGGCAGAGCAGGTCAGCAGGGAGGGAGCGTGGGGGGACGAGCAGGAGCGTGGCCACCTCCAGCTGCCCCGGGACCCTGAGGACGCTGCTGAGTCCTCTGCAGCCCCTCTGCCAGCCCTTCTGCCCCGGGGCAGGGCACGGGGGCCGCAGCTGCACCTGCCCAGGTGGGAAGAGTGGAGCAGAGAGCACTGCAGGTGGCCTGGGAGCTTCAGTTCCCTTCCCCTGGCAGCCAGGGGCACTGGAAGGCAGCAGGAGCTTGCAGAACCCTTCTGGCACATCCCTGTGGGCCCGGGGATGGATCCGGTCTGATCCTTCCAGCTCACGGCTCCTTGCTGGCCACCAGCTCTGCTCAAAGCTGTGCCAGGGGCTGACGGGCCTTGAGAGCTTCCCAGGAGGGGAACAGCCCGAGCACGAGGTTACTGAACGGGCCAGCAGACAGCCCTGAGCTCGGGGATGCCTCCTTGGAAAGCACAGAGCCCTGAAAAGGAGCAGGAGCCCTCCGGTGCTGCCCCCAGGCACGGCAGAGCCGCGGGAAGGCATCCCTGCCCTGCCGGCTCCGGGGGGCTTTAACAGCCCTGGGCATGTGGCACTTGGGGACAGCGCTTGGGGACAGCTGGGCTGGTGACCTTGGAGGGCTTTCCCCACCTAAATGATTGCAGGATTCTGGGAGCCCCTTTACTGGAGGAGCAGTTTTCAGGGGGAATCGCCCAGGGAAGTCCAGAAGTGTCCACGGCCACCTCCAGCCCTGCACACCCACCGTGCCCCCCCCGTCCCGCCGTGCCCGTCCCTCTCTCCCCGTGCCCGGCTGTCCCCGAGCTGCCCGGATCCCCCCGGACCCCCCGTTCTGCCCCGGGCAGGGAGGGACAGCGTTCCACGGCCAGTGCATGCGCCTGCGGGGGCTCTCGATGCTTCGTGAGCATCCCCTCCGTGCAAAACCCACCCGTGTCCCCTCCGGCCCCACCCATGTCCCCCCGATCCCCCCC